TGAATACCATGGATGGTGGCGCCCGCCCCCATGTGTGGCCGACTGAGGCCCTGGGGTGGTCAGGGGGATAGGATTGAGGTTCCAGGCTCGAGGATCGAGATTCGAGGGTCGAGGTTCGAGGAGAGTTTTCGGGCACTCTTTGGCCCGTTTTGGGCCTCAGGAGGCCTCCGGGACTCTGGAAGGCTTCCGTGGGCCTCGGCGGAGACCTCAGGAGGAGTGCATGGGGGGGGGGTCCACAGAGATCCAGCGGCTCGAAGCAATCCAGACGACTAGTTTTTCGTCGTTTTGGCTTTTTGGACGCTGGTTTCGGGCCCCCCGCGACCGTCTACAAACGAGGCAGGATAAGAAGCCAGCCCCAGGGAAGGGGTCCAGAGCTCCAGGGACCCATGTCTCAGGAAAATCGTGCCGCCGGATCTCGGGGCAGCACTCGGGTGTTGTCTCTGGCGGCCCCTGAAGGTCAAGGTGTTGAGACTGCCCCAGGCTACTCGGGCAGCCTGTTGAGGCCAGCCGGGGCTACCTCGGGGGGCTGGCTCAGCGCAGGCCCAAGGCTTACCCCAGGGGGGGGGCGATACTGGCCGCCTGCATGGGGCCACAGTAGGTGGCGTACAGTCAGTCAGCATGCCAAGGATGGGCAACCTTCCCAAGGGTACCCTTGCATCCTTGTCCCTTCGGCCTATCCTTGGTAGCTTTCGCTGGCCAACCTCGTTCGAACAAACATGAACATTGCCCTCCAAGGCCCTTGCATCCTTACCGCGCATCCTTATGATACGGGCTGACTGTAGGATGGTCGTGCCGCATCGGCGATGCTCTGCGATCCAGAGCCAGCTTATCTCGATTTAGGCGTTGCCGATGCCTTTGCGATGCATCGGCGATGCGGTGCGTTCTTCCGACCCATCTGCTCCAGCCCCGTTTGGACGGCCGGTTCTGCGGCCAGATTTGCTGCCCTCTCCAAGTCTCGTTTTTGCGGGTGGCTTCGTCGTTCGTCGTCTCTCGCGAGGAAGCTGTTGCTGCCGTCGTAGGTATTCGACGCGGAGATCCCCAGATGTGCATACGTGCTTCTTTCACGTGTCTCCGTGCATGTGCGAGCGTGAACCCGGTCTGATCGGCGTGGAGAAAATTGTATGTGAGTGACTCCGAGTGCGAGTCCTGTTTTCTGCTGTTCTCCGCTGTTCTCCGCTGCTCTCTGCTGTGCTCAGCTGCTCTCTGCCGTATTCTCCTGCTCCTCTGTTGCTCTCCGCCACTCTCTGATGCTATCTGCTGGTCACCTTCAGTCTCCCTCCTGCTACTGTTCTTCCTGCTGCTCCTCCTTCTCCTCCTCCTCCTCGTCCTCCTCCTTCTCTCCCTTTTCCTCTTCCTCCCACCTGCTCCACATTTTCCTCCTGCTCCTTTTCTCCGCCGTCTCTCATAGCTCCTGGTGGCCAGGGACCCAAATACCCCTTCCCCAGAAGCGGTCATTCTATACGAGAGGTCCCGACGATCCGGGCGCGAAGACGCCCGTGGAGCACCCTTGGTCGACACCCCCCTTGAGAGGCCTGAGTGCCGTGCCGTGCCTGCCACATCGCGATGACATGTGGACTCTGAACAGAAGACATGCCGACCCTTCCCCGACGCGGCTTTTTCTCCACTGTGCGACGCTTGGTGCGCAGTAGTCTTCAGGGCACTCGTACTCAGAACACTCATGCTCAGGCTCACTCATGATACTCAGACGCGTTCATAAGCAGACTTAGTCGTGCTCAGGCGCAGTAATACTCAGACTCACTCACAGACGCACCCACTCGCACTCAGACTCACACACAGGGTTCACCCATATGCATACCCAAAGACATCCAATTCTCTCGTGCTCAGACTCGCTCACATTCATGCTTTCTCGTACCTCGGCTCGCTCCTACGCAGACTAACTCACACTCAGACTCACTCATACTGCGACTCGTTCCTGAAAAGACTCATTCACATTCAGACTCACTCACACTGGCTCTCTCGTGCACCCGCATACATAGCCTCACTTCTGCTCATGGTCTTTTCGATGTAGCAGGCGTCGAATTCCTTCTGCCAACGTCTAGAATGTCGTTTGCGGCCCCCCCTAAGGGGTGTCGACTAGGTTGTGTTCGACGGGCCCGATCTCACCCAGATTATCGGGACCTCTTTCAGAATGATATTTTTTGTTGGTAGGTGGGATGGAGGTGGGTGGGTATGGGGAGGCACGCACAATTATTTCGTTTCGGGGCTGCATGACCACGCGATGTCACAGGCATGGCATTCGTCCCCTATAAAGCTGTGTCGACCAGGTTGTTCACGGGCCCGATCGTTCCCAGGTTGTTGGGACCTTTGGTGCGTAATTGCAGTTTTTATCCGAGCCTCTCTCGAGTTGGGTCCTCGTCTTGGATGGAGCACTGCTCTCGTCCGGTCCTCCTCCTCCCGCCTCCTCCCGCCTCCTCCCGCCTTCTCCCTCCTGTCTTCTCGAGCTCCCTCGGGGTCCTTTTACTTGCGCAGCTGTAGCACCTATCGTGAGCTCCTGGGAGGCCCAGCGGGGCCACGTCGTGCGCGCATTTTGGTGAGACCTCCCTTTGGAGGAACACACTTTGCAACAGCCGTTTAGGAACCACTTCGCATGAGCCCCCTCTGCCCCTGGCCTTAAAATTTTGAACAAGCGATCCATGAGAATCGGGGCTGGAAGACTCTTTCACACAACATCCCGAAGGCAATCTTTGCCAATGTTACGACTCGGGTAGGGGAGGGGGGGCTTGAACTCTCTGTTGTGTGGGTGTTGTTGTTGAACAGTTTTCCCTTCACCCGTCGCGCTCCCCTGGGGGCTGCCACCTGCACAGCTCACGGCGCTTCTGTCGTAGCCCCCCGGGAGGCGGAGCGGGCGTCCGCGGCGCTTCTCTGTTAGAGATGGTGGGCCGAGGCTTGCCTCGAGCGTGGCCTCGGAGGGCCTCGGGATCTCCGCCCGAAGTCGTCCGCGCCGTAGTTTTTTGGCAGCAGTGGTGGTGCCCTCGTGGACGAGCAGCGGGTGTGCGCTGTGCTGCGGCAGGGCTGCTTCGACGTGGGCGCGAGGTAGCCGTGGGCACACGAGGCAGCGCTCACCCCCGAGACAGTGCAGAAATTGGTGTTCTTTGCCAGGCACGTGCGCCGGGGCCGCACGGCGTGCTTATGATCCGCAAAGTATGGACCGCGTATTGAAGCCAAGACCTTCGTCCAGGCTTCGGCTAGGAATGGCAAGGGCAGACTGGTCAGCGAAGGGAGTGGCATATACTCTGCGTATTATCGCGGCAAGACGGAGGAGTTCAACCAGGATTCATGTGGGACAGTCAAGGTCTGGTGGCCACCTCTGCTGATGCGCGAGCGCGTGGTCGTCTTCGGCTCCGACTATCTGGACTAAGTTCCAGAGGTCGCAGGGTCGTGCGGCCGCGGCTTATACAACGTCCCCGCGGGCAATGTCATGCAGAAGTAGCGGGAGGCGTTGCGCGACCATGGCTTCACCAACATGATGGTGGATAATCCTAGCGTGCGGCCCGGGCACGTGCAGGATATTCTCTTGCGTGAGACTGCGGTCTCTTGGTTCCGCCCGATACTGGCGTGGATGACGCTCAGCAAGCACTGCGTGGAGACCGAGGAACAGTGCGCCAACAGTCGCAGAAGGTTCGTAGGCGACATCGCAGCGAAACTTGATGTCTAGGGTTCGTGCCAAGGCTTCGCGAAGCTACCAGGTACTGTGGTCGTAAGCAGGGGCGACCGTGCGTTCACATGAGCGTTTATTGTGAAGAGGGGGTGCTGGCGCTGTGATGTGCAGAGGGCCACGCGTGATGTTCGACTTGCCCCTGTTTGTAGGGGGGGGGCACAATGCCATGCCATCTACGCCGCAGTGGGAGTGGAGCCCTGCAAGGAAGCACGTGCACCCACCCCACTGCTCATTTTCGAATCGAGACGTCCCGTCACCTGTGGTCGACGCTTTCTGGGGTGCCCACATGCTATGCCTGCTGCACTGCGTCGGCCCTGCGTCTGCGAGAGGAGACGCGTCGACGCCCCCAGAGCGATCCTGGTTGCTCCAGGGGCCCCGACCATTTGGGCACGACCGGTCGTGGAACACCCCTGGCCGACCCGCCTTCGTGGGGCGCAGGTGTCATGCCTGCTGCGTGCGGTGGTCTGGGGCTCTGAACATGCACGCGCGTATCCTTCACTAGCGGCAGTTCTGCTTGAGAGGTCCCGGCGATCTGGGGCGGGAGCTGGATCGTGGAACACCCCCGCTAGCCCCCCCCCTTCCGTTTTCAGGGAGGCCCAAGTTCATTGCGTGTTGCGTCGCGATGGACACTCAGCCAGGTGCGCGCTCGCAACAACGTGGAAGCATTGGGGGTGGTGCAGGGGGTGGCTGAGCATGAGCATGTATGAATGTGGGTGGGCCTGAGTATGGGTAGCCAAATAGCAGTGGTTTTAAGTGTGAGCGAGCAGAGTTCTCTTTCTTGTCCGCACACTTGTGTCGCATATTGCGGGAGGCGTGCCCCCGCACATCCCCGCATTTTGGGCGCGAGCGATCCTGTGATGGGTCCCTTGGCGCCCCCCCTGGGTGCCCGGGTGCTATTACGGCCACGTGGCGTCGATCATGGGGCTCTTAACAGAGAGGAGTCCTAGGCGCCCAAACACAGGAAACGCTGATTCATCCCCTCAATCAGATCGCGAAAGGATCCGTGATCCCCCCCGGTTGGTTCCCCTTCGGTGTGATCTAATGATGGGATTGCTATGTCGCGGTGCTTTCGTGCCCCCCAACACAGAGGAGTGCGAGGCGTCAAGCCAGGCGGACCGCTTGAGGTACCCCCCGAGAGATGTGCCTGCTAGGTCGCGGTCATCATGGAACTTCCATCTGCCTCTCCCAACAATCAGGGGGTATCGAGACGAAACGCTTGGCGCATCCCTAAATTTGGTCGCGAACGTGCCAGCGATCCACCCCCTATTTGCT